CACCAAAGGGTCATGGGTTTGATTCCAGGTGAGGGCACATACACAGGTTGTGGGTTCCATCTCTGTTGGATTGCTTGGGCAACTGATCGGTGTTCCTCTTTCTCTTTCCCTCTCCCTTCCTCTCTCTCTAGAATCAATGAAAAAACATATCCTTAGAGGAGGACTTAAAAAGAAAAAAAAATGCTGGTTTGGTTCAGTGGATAGTGCTTCTGCAGGCAAAATGAAGGGTACCAGGTTGGATTCCAATCAAGGGCATGTACCTGGGTTGCAGGCTTAATCCAGGGCCCTGGTTGGGGATTCAGCAAGAGGCAACCAATTGATGTCTCTCACATTAGTTTCTGTCTTTCTCCCTACCTTCCACTCTCTGTAAAAAAAAAAAAAAAAAAAAAAAAAATGCAAAAATGTCCTCAGGTGAGGATTAACAAAAACAAACAATTAAACAAACACCCATCCCCAGTGTGATTACTGAAGGAGCATATGAAATATTTGCTGAATGAATGGGAAAGGATGGAACTTTGCTTTCTAACTGTTTTAGCAACTCTGCAAGCCAGAGGGTTTATTTTAATTTTTATTGATTGATTATTTTAGAGAGAGGAAGGGAGCGAGAGAAACACCAGTGTACTGTTCCACTTATTACTCACTCTTTGGTTGCTTCTTGTCTGTGCCCTGACCAGGGACCCAACCTGCAACCTTGCTGTATCAGGAGGAGGTTCTAACCCACTGTGCTGTGGGCTGCCTGTCAGGGCCCCTCAACAAAACCCCTCTGGCATGCCCTGGCCCCTGCTCTGGGCCAGAGCTCCTCTGCCACAGCAAAGGTTTGGGTTCCATTCTATCAGGGCACCTACTTAAGTTTCGGGTTGGCTCCCCGGTCGGGTCTGACTGCTGCTCAGGAAGTGACTGGAGACCATTGAGGTTCCTGTGCTCTAGTCATTTGGCAGGGAGCTGGGGTTCCATAGCAGACATGGCCAACTCCAATTCCCACTAACCCTGGTCTTCCATTGAGGACGGCTTCAACTATGGCAGCTGTGTGGCCTCCACCAGCGTACACATCCGCATGGATAGGTTGTCCCCTCTGTGGCTTGCCAGGCCTAGCTGCTGCGCAGTCACTCCAGGAGGCAGATTTCTGGGTTCCCAGGGAGAGCGGGTTCCCAGAGGGAAAGCACTTCACTCAGCCTCCCTTCGGGGCTCCCGGGAGCGTGGAGCACCCATCCTGTGCAGGGCTTGGAGGGAAGAGCCGCCCCAGGGAGGCCTCCTAGCTGGGTGCTGAGGAAACAAAACTGGAGCCCTTCCTCCTTAAACCCTGTCATCTTCAGTGTTGAAAGAGACAGATGAAAGCCTCAGCAGCCTCTTTAAATGAAGATGTTATATTTGTTCGGTGGAAATAAGTTTATTGTGTAATCAATATTGTGTAATCATTGTGATTTATTGTGTAATCATTGAGATTACACAATAACCTGCATTGAGTTGTCTGCTGGGATTTTGTGCTTTAGGGCATGTGAACGCATTTTATTTTATTTGACGCAGCCTCACATCCACCAGCCTTGTGCAGCACGCAGCCATGCCCACCTGCTCCTGACAGTCATTACCCGTGAGGGCATCCTGGATAATTTGCATATTCCTCTATTATTATATAGGATTAGTTTAATGAGTATAGCATAATGGCCAGACATTTATATAATTTATGAAGTGATTCCCCAATAAGTCTAGTGCCCACATTGCACCATACATAGTTATTACTATATAGTGGCCTGGTGCACAAAATTTGTTTATGGGGGCGGGATCCCTCAGCCTGGCCTGCACCATCTCCAATCTGGGATCCCTCTTGCAATCCAAAACCACTGGCTCCTAACCGCTCACCTGCCTGCCTGACTGATGCCCCTAACTACCTATCTGCTCTCCCTTCCTCTCCTCATGCAGACGTGCTGAGACCTCAGGCGCAGGTGTGCTGAGAGCTCTTCACTACAGCCCCGCCCCTGTCCTGATTGGTTGTTACATGATGGCGTCCTGGACAATTTGCATATTCCTCTATTATTAGTATAGATTATTGACTATATTCCCTATACTGTATTTTACATTCCCCAAACTATTTTTTAATACAAATTTGTACTTCTTAATCCCTCCACTTTTAAAAAAAATATATGGTAATTTTTAATGGTGAGAAAAGTTTAATTGTAGTATTTAACACTTCTTTTAGGTATTAAGAAGTTCTTACCAGTCTATACAAGACTATTATCTGATACCCAGTTTATAGCATCTCCTCTCTCTGAATCTTCTAAGTCAGAATGGGGAAGAAGTGACTAGTAAAAAGAGAAGCTTTTTTATTTAACTGGTCATGCAATTGTGATTCTCATTTGGGTTGGGGTCCTGGAATGCAATACATGTCCTGCAAGGTCATCACATACCTCTGTATGGCAGGTGCCCTTATGGGCTAGAGCTCACAGAAATTAGACATGGAAACTTATCACAATTTGCTGACATGGAAACTTCTTTTGGAAGGTGGAGGTTCCCATCCAAATTATTCCAGGGTTTTCTCACTGCATTTCAAGACCCTGAGAAAAGTCCCTCATAATTTTGTTACTTTTTTTTAAAGTGAAACAGAGGGTATGTTTTCCTGATATATGTTGAAAATAAGGGGGAGTTAGAGGGTTGGTGGAATTGAGCAAAGGAGGGGGAAATGGGGACATCTGTAATAATGTCAACAATAAAAATGAAGCTAAAAAAAAAGAAAAAGAAAATAAAGTGAGCTCTATGAGTATAAGTGGTATGTGTACAATTAAATGGAAATGATCTCTTCGACTCATATCAAATTTAAAACTCTCTGAAAACAAAGACTATTTTCACCACAGATGGAAACTATATAATAAATTCTTTTTTCCCTAAACCTTTCTTCACTTTTCTAATTTAAAGAAATTACTGAAAATACATGAATTATGCAGCTTATCTTTCAGATGAAAAAGAATTTTCTTCTTGGATTGGATGGCTCCATTTTATTAATAGCAATAAAATTTTCCATGTTCTTTTGTATCAAACAGGATGCAAACTATAATATGAAGGAGCTTTTCCAGCAATATCAGAAATGGATGAATAATTATAAAAGCTACTTGGAATTGAAAACATTTTAATTTGTCATTACTTCAATGTGTTCAGAAAGGATCTGAATAGTTTTATTGACCATAAAAAGGAAGGGTGTGATATTCTTTCTCATTATGAAATTAAGTTCTTAATATAACACTTTTACTGGAATATAACACTTATACTGAAAATATATGGTAATTTTTAATGGTGAGAAAAGTTTAATTGTAGTATTTAACACTTCTTTTAGGTATTAAGAAGTTCTTACCAGTCTACACAAGACTACTATCTGATACCCAGTTTATAGCATCTCCTCTCTCTGAATCTTCTAAGTCAGAATGGGGAAGAAGTGACTAGTAAAAAGAGAAGCTTTTTTATTTAACTGGTCATGCAATTGTGATTCTCATTTGGGAATAAATAAACAACTCTCATCTGGTTTCCTCTAAAGATGTCATCATGACTGAAGACTTCTCAGCCACGGATGTGTTGGTCTTATTATTACATGGGGATACTGCACTTCAAACTCACTTTAATTTGAAAAATACTTTTCTTTGCAGGTTATAAAAATGAGGTCATATTTGTCTAGTTAGAACTTCCTAACTTTATGTTGCATGAATTCATGTGGCAACAACTGTAGAATTTTCATAGGTCATGGTAGCAGGAACTAAATATGAGATTCTAAAATAGGAAGTTTTGTTGTATAACTATGTAAAAGTAGCTGTGATTACTAGGGTCATTCCAAGGCAAAATTTCAAAGCTATTTAAAAAAAATATGTCTCTGTTTTCTTTTGGTCTACATTATACCAAAAATATCCGAATTCTTATTTGTCTCTTAAGAATATTTTATTAAGACCTACTCTATTTAGCATGTGTGTTTTTTTTATGTTTTGGAAAATAACATTTCAAGATATGCTGTGTGCTTCCAGGTTAGTGATAGAATTTTCCTTTGTCACTTGTGAATTTTTTATTTATCAGCTTTCCACTAAGATATTTAGATCTTAGTGATAAGGGAAGGCAGGTCTATACAAGGATTCTGACCTGCTCTAGCACATTTGCATCCCCCCCCCCTCCATAATATAGCTTTAGGGTTAATACAGCATACTGTTTGGCAGTCTTGATGCAGCCAGAAGACTGATCTGATTCTGATCTTTCCAGAGTTCAACTCTTATCCCTTAATAGCCCTATGACCTTGTGCCATTAACATAGTCAGTTTAAGCCTCACTGTTTCACCTTTAAAATGGGGAGAAATAATATCCACATCAAACGTGGTGTGGGGATTAAATTAACATGTAAAATAAATGGAAAATTCTTGACATATAGTAGGCATGCAATCAATGGTAGTATCTGTTTACCATAAAGCAAAACAAAACTAAAAAACCTTTAAAAACTAGTTATCTATTTAATTTAAATCAATACTTCTTGACAATAAAACCAGAAACTATTTTTCTATTTACCTAACAGATAAAATTCTTGATGCATAGAGAATGAAGTTCATAATAATTTGAAATCTAAATGCTACCAACTTGTTCTCGCCTCCCAACAAGAGGTTTCTATAAATAGTGATACCTGCAATTTACAGATGGGTATATACAATATGCCATAAATAAAAATTAATTTATTGTTTTCATTTTTAACGACTTTCGGAATGAATTTAGTGTCTGGATTGACATTACAAAGATAAATATTTTCTTCTAAATATACGAGATGACATTAGTAATTGAGTTATTATATACGCAGATTATTTAGAACTTAAAAGATTTATATAAATTCAGCTTTATTTTAATTTGACGGATAAAGTGAAGTGGGTGGGGGATAGAAAGGGAGGGAGGGAGGGAAAGAGGGAGGGAAAGAGAGAGAAGAAGAAAGAGAGAAAGATTGAAATATGTAATTAGAAAGAAAGTAAGACTATGTTCTCTTCTGTCTTATAGCCTGAAGAATAAGTAGTGAAAACATCAATCAAGATGAGAAAAAAAATATCAGGATTTCTCTGCCATGGAGAATTACTTATCAACCACCAGAGGAGAAATCTTTCTTGAACAATGAACATTTTTACGAGGATTCACAGATTAACATGTGACCAATCTTAGTTTTGGAAAGTGAGCTTTATTTATTTCTTCTTCTTGTTTTTTTAATTTTGTGGTAAGTTGTGATGTTTGGATGGATTTTTAAATTATTTTCTGATAATATATTTAGCACATGATCTAAATTATAATCCTATACCAAACAGTGAAAGCATCATTTAAACTTAAAGACAATGGAAAAATCTAAATCTCCAGTTTATTCTAGATTTCTTTAACATATAAAATTATTCTATTAAATCCTGGATGATTGTTATGTAAAGCACCTCTATCAAGAAAGAAACACTATTTTTTCATCATGTGGAACATGACTGTGGCAACGTGCCCTAAATGGGAAAGAATCACTCCCTGGTCCTTCTCATCTCACCTTACAAAATGTGAGCCAGCCTTGCCATCTGAACAGCAAGAATGAAGAAGGCAAATAAAAGAAAAATCCTCATCTCTGTTTTCTGATCATTCAAAAAACAGCTTCTCAAGGTTAAGCCAAATCCTCTTTGCAAGCTGCCAAAATAATAGCTTAGGAAAAGAATTAGTTTGCCTGCATGATGATCCTCTTAGGCAAAAATGTCTTCACAGCAGTTGACCTTGATGAAATGTTTTCCCAAAGGCATCCAAAGGAAGAATTATAGATCCCAGAACAGGAGAGAAGTAAATGAATAATTCTTATGAAGTTGGCCTGACTTAAGGGCTTCAATGTGGGGTACTATGATTTGGAAATAAGTGGGTGAATTCTGAAGAATAACAGCCTTGGGTATGATGAGGTCCCCTATTGCTCTGTTTCTCACTGAAGTGCTCTCTATGAGCCAAGATTCAATCACTTTGGGAAAAACACCAGTGGCCAGTATGGCAGACTGGAACCCTGTTACTCTGATGGGGAACAGAGTGTCTCTGAGTGTAAACCATAAGGCTCTTTCTCTAGGTTCCATCTCCATCAGACTGGATTCGGTGACTTGCAGGCTGGCTGCAAAGCCAGGCATTTAGCTGCTACTCATGATGCTTCTCAATGGTCTGGCTGGGCTGTCCTTTGTATGTTGTGACTACAGGCAAGTGATCTGCTGGTGTCAGGGTTTTCTGTCGCCTGTTGTTTTTCCACAGAGAGCCAAGGTGGTTACAACTCAGTGAGCAATAAATGAAATGACTTAGAAACGCACAGTGTTGTTATTAAGGTGTTTGAGATTTGGCACCATTTCCTGGAGGAGGGCCCACTCAGGAGGGACCAAGGTGGCCAGTGTCCATGACTACAGAAGGAGCAGCCACCCCAACCACAGCTGTCCTGTTGGAAGGAAGAAAGATGTGATGGGGAACAAACTATTTTGCTGTTTTGGAAAGCACACAACCGAGCTGCAAACCTTCTATGGTGACTTTTGTTCAAATGTGTAAAATGAGGCTTTATTTGTCAATTCTGCTGTAACATACGCAACTGTCCTAGTAAAAAAAGAGAAAAAAAGTCTTTGTTTCTCTTTGTGTTTAGTGAGTGAGCTCATGCCCTCGGGTGTTTTTGTTTTTAATAACCCAATATAGTACAGACGAGTCTATGAACATAGACTTCGTTTGCTTTACAGAGAGTCTCTGCCAACCTTGATAGATCAGTTTCCAGATATAATAATCTGATTATTTCAGAATCCCTCATCTAAGTGCCATTGCTCCTTGGCAACCTGTCAAGTGAAAGTGAATACCCTGCCAGAGACGAGGCTTTGTTTGTTTTCAAGTCTCTTTCCTTATTTTTGCCTGTACAGAGAAGGGAAGTTACCATTCCAGTGAACCAGGGAGGTGACGTATTCAGCTTTAAAGAGGAAGAGTCTATGAATATTATTTATATTTTGGGACGTCTTAAATGGAAACACCCCTGCTTGGGAAGCTAGCTGTTTGTTGTCATTATTGTTCTTTTATCTTTTTGGTGTGATTGTATTTGTTTCATTAGGTCCTGTCTTGCATGTCACTTTCACTATGAACGAACAGGAGTGAGAGGTAAATATTTTCAAAGAGACAAATTAAGTCTGGCGCAGAGAGAGGGAGAGCCTTGCAGACCTGACCTTATGGAGCTGCTCTGGCAGGGCCGCCGGGTTACAGCAGAGATTCCGGGAGAGACGAAGACAGGTCCAAGAATTTCCTGTAAAACCTCCATGCGGGAGAACTAGAGGTGAACCCGATGTTCAATATTTAAACTTCCAGAGTACATGTAAGAACGTCAACTAAACTGACCCACTACTGCCCATTCGAAGTGTTGCTCCAGTGAGGGAGAAATGATTCAAAATTAACCTAACACACAAGCCTAATGGCATCCCTATAGTAGAGTAAAATTTTTTTAAAGAAACACTTGCTAAGTGGTTGAAATAGTTTAGGTCTTCTTATAGAGATTAAATACCCCTATAGTCCTGGTCATACAATTCACTTATTTTCTAACGAGTTTTCCTTCAAGTACAGAGGTGAGCTTCAGGTTAGCACTAGTGCCAGTGGCCACACAGGCCATGGTTGTGAAACCCAAATTAATGAGTTTTCCTTATATGTAGTCTTCACAGCCAAGTGCGCTAATAAATGTGATCATAAAGCAATCTGCTAAGTGGAGAGGACTGCAGTGATCCCTCCTGCTGATAAAAGTGGCAATAAAACCCTCATCTGCAATTGCTTGACAACAAAGACCAATAAGATTTGTTTTTTCATCTGCCTCTTAGATGACATATAAACATAAATTGGAACTGCAAGAATCTTTATACCTTCCTATTAAAGTGACTTTACTAGACCAATCAGACTAAGAGAAGAAAAATATGAAATAGATGAAAAATGTGAATACTCCCACAGGGAAATTTGAGCCCTGGGAGCTGGGGGAGGGCACACCTCCTCCAAAGCTGATCAGTTAAGCGAGGTATTTTTGACAGGTTACTGTGAGCACAGCATATCAGAACTCCAATGAGGAAATAACATTACCAATCAGGTAATAAAATAACCACCCTCTCTACATTCCATCCATGCTAAATATGCATTGCTTGTTTGACCAGCTTGTACAAAAAAATTTGATTGTTGTTCTTTTGTGACCAAAATTGTTGTCCTTTTGTGGGAACAGATCTCTTCTTTTTCTGCTTCTTACCTAATTTACTCTTACTAAAGTCATGCTAAACTACCTCATAGGTATGTGGTGTGGATGAGCTAAGTAATAAATGTCAAGTGCTTAAACATATAAATCTCTATATAAATGCTGTCTTTGTTTTCTAGTTGAAGGTGTGCATGCCAAATGAACTCTCTGGGCATTTCATTGCATTATCCATGTTGATCAATTGGCTTTAAGTTTCATATGCAAATATCTTAACGCCAAATGAAATCCTGGCCGTGCAGCATGGATTGAGAGCATCAAGCCCAAGTGTAGCTTCTAAGGAAAGAAAAAACACCTAGAGGCAAAATGTTTTCTTAAGCAGATGTTAAAGTGGGTATCCTCAAAGCTGTGTCTGTTGGGGGGTCAAGGCTGGTTTTAAAGAGTATAAATTTGCATTATAACAGTTAAAATGCCAAAAATTGGCTGTGGTTTATATTTGAAATCAATTAGAGTGGGTTTAAGGTTATGCCTATGACCATCTAACCCAGTGATGGCGAACCTATGACACCATGTCAGAGGTGACACGCGAACTCATTTTTTTGGTTGATTTTTCTTTGTTAAATGGCATTTAAATATATAAAATAGATATCAAAAATATAAATCTTTGTTTTACTATGGTTGCAAATATCAAAAAATTTCTATATGTGACACAGCACCAGAGTTAAGTTGGGGTTTTTCAAAATGCTGACACGCCGAGCTCAAAAGGTTCGCCATCACTGATCTAACCCTTAATTCCTTCACATGTTGAGTAAAAGATAGAGGGAAGTGTCATATCTATTTCATATCTATTTCAAGAGAGGTATCTGCCTTGATTTTGCCTTGATTTGTGTCTTCCTATAATGATGTTGATGTTGTGTATGTGTGTTTTTAAGATATAGCCTAAAGAGAAAGGAATTAATGTCTAATAGTTCTTGTAATGGCATATGAAGGCTCTATAACAACTAGCTAAAAAATAATTTTACTGCTTGCTCTACTTCTCTGTCATTTTCACCTATATGATTAATTACTCCTTAGTCGCTCTCCTGAACTGCATTTTTATTTGCTGATTTCAAATACCTCAACTTAATTAGCAATTTATTCTGAACTTTAAAATTCACATTTCATGATCTTCAAATTATATGAGTGAAGGGAAAAGGATCTAATTTTACCTGCCCCTTCACCTTCAGCTGTCATTAACAGGTTACAGTCAAACTATTGTCATGTGTCAAACTTTCACCTCAACTGTGGTTGTTTGAAGTCTAGGCTCAAGTTCCCTCATTCCATAGGTGGTCAGTAGGATCAGCAAAGGCTGACTTAACTTCAGAAAGTTTGAGTAATGTACAATGTAGTACATTTGGCTGCTAAATTTATGCAAAAAAGTGAAATTGTTATACACAATATTGAATTTCCTCTTCTATTCTTGCTATTTTGAGAACTCTCAGCACATTTTCTACTTGAATTGTTACTCCTCAAATGATTAAAAGTTCTGACTGTAGGACCACAAATGATGAGCAAAAAGTTTCCTTACGATGGCCAACTTGGTGACCATCTGTTCTACTTTGAAATCAGTGTCTTACTGTATATGCTCATATTTCTTGAAATTGTCTTCAGATAGTGGAGTGCTAATCTGTGTACATAATAGCACTAGTGCTAATGATTTTGGTACTAAGAATCCAAAGAGTTGCCATGATGGATCAACTCCATGTCCCATCAGTTTTCTACTCTGGTAGTAAATAGTTTCCAAGAAGCTCAGAATGGAAGGATGTGATTAGCCTCCCTAATTATTAGTGCCAAGAAAATTATTAATGTTGCATGTGTGTAAGACAGGTAGTAGGGGTGTTTTTCTATCTTGTCAAAAATATGATCTCTTTGGTTGAGCTTGATAATAATGGGATAAAGGGAGGTCACCTTGCAAGGCAGAAAATCCAGAGCAACTCTTTTTCTATCCAGAACTGTCTGATCATCAGGGAGACACCTGCAGAGAAGAGACAACCCCTGCCCTCTACATGTCCACAGTGGGTTTAGCAGCATTAGTAACCAGCTTAAGATTTCCCTCCTTTCTTCTTCTGAATTAATTCTGCTTGCCCCTTGTTAGATTTACTTTGTGGCTTCCATGATGATTTGGCTCTGAGGACCATATGTTCAGAACTTTAAAGTGGCTTGTCCTCTTTATCCACCGCTCTTTTTACTTAACTGGAGCATGCTGGTATTAAAGTGATTAGTAGCAGAAAATACAGTCCATGGATGGATAATATTTTCCATGTTGGATACAGCTTTTCTAAAAAGCCAACCTACTTTTGACTAAATATGTTTTTTTAAAGCCTTTGTCTTCATTTTCCTCTTTTTACAACTTAATTTAAGGCCAATTACAAGCTCATCTCCTACCTCTTTTATATGAGCTACAATTCTCAGTGTCCTTTAGGTGTAGAGAGTTTAATTGTGATGAAAGTTAATCAAGTACCTTTTGCAAGCTGCCCATGGGGGTATGTAATAAAGTGAGTCTTCCACCTGGGTGATTGCATCAGCCCTTGACTTCTTTGATAGTGTTGAGGTCTAAATAAATTAAATACTTGAGGTTTTTCAATTACTCGCTGGTTCAGAAACTACCCATATTTTCAGATTAATGGTGGGCCTCTGTCTGGGGGGACTTGAACTCAGTCCTTATATATTTTTGTATAAGAACTCATGTCATGGTTCCTATCTGGCCTTATCTTTATAGATATTGAATGCAAGACAGACTACAGCTCCTACTTTTAGGAAGTGTCTGATATTATCTGGCTTATTGCTGGGATTTGCAGAGAACAAACCATTTTCCTTTTCAAATATCTTTGTCAGTCAAAGTTTTTCTGAGAATAGAGGTCGGTACCCCTGAAAGGGAAAAAACAAAACCAAAACCAAAATCAATTTATCACTTCGTGCAAATTCTGGTAATCCAGTTGTTGACAAATACTGTAAAGGGGTTGTATGTGTTATGTTTATCATGTATGAATAAATTAATTCAGTAATTATGGATGGAATATAAAATTCCAGACAAAGGATATGGTATAGGGGAAACAATATAGGATATTTTTTTAAAACGCTGGATCTGGAATATGGTTCTGTCATTTATTTGCTCTATGATCTTGGGCAAGCTTTGTATGTTTATTGAGCTTTTGTTTTTCAATGTTTAAAGTGGGCTGATGATACGTTTCTTATAGAGTTGTAAAAATTAAACAAATTAACTGTATGCATTTCTTATTCTCCCCTTTTCTCTGATCCAGCTAGCTAATAATCTGTCTATGTGAAAAAGAACCATTCAGTGTGAGAACTGGAGGGATCTTTAAGACTACCTTGCCCGTCTCTCTCATTTTGATCATTCTCACTTTGAAAACTACATGATGAGATAGAACTTTACCTGGGAGAGCGTTGCTGCTAGTAGAGCTTCCCAGCAAA